CGCGGGACCCAGAGACTCCGGCTCCGGCGCCAGGGCGGCGTGGCCGCGCCAGATGCCTCTGCAAAGTTAAAGAGAAGAAAACTTCGGCTCCGGGGAGGTTCGGACCGCTATGCACGGCGCCCCCTGAAGCCTGCGCCCCTGAGAGACCCCCGCACCCCTGTCTGCAGCATCTGCGCCGGACCGGGCCCTGGGGGCCGGGCGTCTGGAACGGCGGTGACTGCGCTCTCTCGAGAACCCAACCAGGGGACGGGGAGGGGCGGGGGGGCGGCAACGTAGCCGCCTAGGAAGTTTCCTGAAGTTGTCGGTGTATTCGGGCGTCGGGCCGGCGACCTGGCTGGAGCGCAGAGCCCGTCCTGCCTGCCGAAGCCGGAGTTGGGATGTGAAGGGCGGGAGGCGCCCCGAGTCCGCGAGGCCAGCGTTGCCTATTCTCGCTCGCCCCTCGTCTTCCAGCGCGCCACCGGCTCGGACTTGAACACAGAGGAGGAGGAGGAGGAAAGGTTGGGGTCACCCGCGCTGACCCTCCAGGACACATACCTCCTGGGACCCAAAGTCTCCCAGGAAACGAAGCCGCGGGGTTACAAGACCCCACCAGGAATATAAAACGGGCGAGGGGGTGCCCCAGGATCCCCCCGCCCACACCAGGCTACCACTATGTGGGGGCTGCTGCCCTGCACTCTGCTGACCTTGCTATGCATCCGCGCGGCCAGCGCTCAAGGTAGGAGGACTACCCTGAGGTGGGGCTGGGGAAGGGGCTCGGGGAGTGGACAAGAGCGAGATGGTGGGAGACCGTTGGGCGTCGCGGTGGCCGCGGGACACCGAGCTTATCCTGGGCAGAGCTCTCTCCAGGGAGTACTGAGACCCCACCCCTCCGAGTTTAGGGGGGCTCTCTTGCCAGAGTGGGGCAGCCTCTCTGAGACTTGTCGCTTTCGAATAGGGGAGGGAGGAGTCTGTGATGGGAGTCGTCGCTCCAGAGGCTGAGAAGAAACTAAGATGAGAGGGGGCGCTGACCTCCAGCCCCGCCGAGGGGGCCCTCCCTCGGGGCCTGCGCGGGAAGGGCGCGCCATGGTGCGCGTCCAGGCCCCCGATCTTCCCCAGGCCAGGCTCCTGGCTCCAGCTGCCTTGCGCTCGCGGGAAGGGCATGGCCAAGCCAGCCAGGAGCTCTTCGGCCAGAGCCTGGAGGATGGGGTGGCCCGGCGCGAGCTCGGAGCCCTGGGCGGCCGCCGCTGCTGGTGGGTCTCTCAGGGAGGACAGCTGACCCGCTTGGCCTCATACCGGAACCCGCGCCAGGTCGGCCGGCCGGCCACGGAGACTAGAGGTAGTCAGCTGCGCGGGCCGGGATCTCGGAGGAGGGGTGCCCACAGGGGTCCAGGGCCAAGCCCAGACCCCTAGAGACCCTCTGCCTCCGTGTGTCTGCAGCCGCCACTCTGACCTGTAGCTGCGCAAGGAAGCCTAGCAGGGGAGAAAAGCTGGTGGATTGGGGTGGGGGTGGGGGGAATCACAGGACAGACATGGACCCGTGATCCGCGCTACCCACCCAGAGGGTGGGTGCCCAGACGTTCCCCCAACCCCTGGAATGCCCTGGCTGCGCGGGCTGTCGCCCTGGCGCTTTCTTGCCTTTGGGGTTCGCAGACCCACACAGCGGCTCCCGCGGTGTCCAGCGGCGCCTGCTGGGGGCGGAGGGAGACAAAGCCTCAGCTATAGCTTCTTCTTTGGGCCTAGCCACTTGCAGGTTCTGGGAAGTGGCCTGGGCCCACCGGGGGGCGTCGGACTGCAGGGGCAGACACCCCAGAATGGCCCCACCCCGCCTCAGGGGGTGCGCAGCCGCGGACAGGAAGGGTCCCCAGCGCACCCAGCGTCTGGCTGTCCAGAAAGTCAGGATCAAAGAGATGAAAAAACGATTGCTTCTCACTCACAGGGTTGAAGGGAGGATTTTACGAGGCAATTTACAGAAGAGCACTTGGAAATTTTGTAACGGGCCCTATAAATGTAAGGTAATAAAAGCTATTATTATTTTTATGATGGTCATAAAATCTCTGAGCAGGAAGCAACCTCAGAGATAGTCTGGCTGATGGTACCATTTTACAGATTAGAATACTGAGGTCCAGTTCCACCACGTGACTTCCCAGAGGCCATTGGGCGCGGACAACGGAAGGAACATGACTGGGTCCAGGTGTCCTGTGCCCTGGGGTGGGTCACATGGTCTTTCCTGGTGAGTGATAGAGTACAGAATGTTCTTTGAGCCCGTCCCCTGCCGACGGATGCCTCCTGAACCTCAGTTCTTCTACTCCCAGGTCTTAAGCAGTTGCTGCCTGTGGCTACAGTTTTCCTCCCCCACGCCTACCTGGATAAGGTCATGTAGTTGCTCAGCAAATACGCCATGCCTCCACAGCCACTAGATACTGCACCTCTCCCTGGAACCTGAAGCCATCGCCCAGCTGGAGTTGGCTTCCCAGGCCCCCCGACACTGGCAGATCAGGAAGCAGCTGTAATCCAGCCTGAACCACCTAGATTGTTCTGACATGCCCAAGGGGTTAGTTAGCGGGAGACAAGCAGGGCTCTCTGACGTAATGGCTGGCCAGACCCAGCAAGAGCAAGATTTCCCTAGCCAGGTGACTGGCGGTGCCATGGCCCAGTGCCCAGGGCACCTGTAGCCTCTTCCTTTCCTAACATCAAACATTCCATGCCCCACTTGCACACCTGGCCGATGGACTCAAGGCCACTCTTCGTCCCTCGGGTGTCCAGGAAGTGAAAGCCATGCTGCACCACCACCCCCACCCCCACCCCCCGCCCCTGCTCCTGCGTGCTTGCCAATGGAGGGGTTCCCGCCACCCTCCACCCTCAGCCAGACAAGGAAGATTTCTGATTGATTCACGCCCTTTCCCACTTCTCTGAGTCTGTGTCTCTCGGAGCGTCAGCTGCCTGGTCCCCTGCGGCTCTATTTGTGTTCTCTGGATCAGAGAGGAGCAGGTTTCCAGGCCAGGGGCCCTTGTCTTCCATTTGTCTGTGGGGCAGGCGGCAAACCTCCTTGCAGAGGATTGTGGGAACAAGAGGGCATTACTGGGCTTGAGTGTGTGTGTGTGTGTGTGTGTGTGTGTGTGTGTGTTGGGCGTGGGGGTGGGGGGGGGGGGGGGCGCGGCGCAAAGAGTATGGGTCCGGGGTCCTTTCTTAACCTTTTTTGAGAAGAACAAGTTCTCCTTTGTGTCTTAGGTCATAGTGTTAACCCTTTGGGGGTTGTTAAAGTGGGTCCATCCCTCCCACTGTTGGGCACTCTTGAGTCCCTTGTCCCCGTTCTCTGGCCAAGACACAGAGGATTGGTGGGCAGTTGGTCCTGCCTGGGGGCAAATCTTGCACTGGCCCACGCCAGATTTTACTGGGACACTTAGTTTCGCCTGCTCTGAACTACCATTTGAGGGTTTCCCCCATAACCAGGAGTCTCATACCCCAAGCTAAGTGAGGTTGGTAGAGGCAGAGAAAGACCCTCCTAACCCGGCTTTGTCACTTTGCTAGGGTGGTCTGCCTTCAGCCCGTCTCAGAACCCTCTGGGGCCTTCTGTTTCCTCATCGGTACATTGGGGATAGCAGCTCCTAACTTGCAGGGTTTCCCAGGGTTGATGTGAGGATTCCCATGCCTGCCTCCTAAACCGGTACCAATACCAATACCAATCACCAAGTTGATTCCGATTCGTGGGGAGCCACGGATGGGGGAGCGACTCTGCTCTATAGAGTTTTCGTTTGTAAGAACAAAGACATGCGTGAAACGCTCTCACACTCCGCTCCATTAGGCAACAAACACCCTTCTATTTATTTAGTCATTTTGCCTCCCGCCGCCCCCCCCACACCCGTCACCCAGCATCTACTCTCTCACCTACTGCCATCGAGCCAGTGCTGACTCATGGCGACACCCCTGCGTGTTCCCAAAGGCTGTAACTGTGCACAGGTGTAGAAAGCTCAGCATTTCTCCCTCAGAGCAGCTGGTAGTTTCAAACTGCCGATCCTTCTGGTCGTGGCCCAGCACTTGACCAGCACACACAGGGCTGCGGTCTATTCTCTAGTTAGTAATGGACCTTCCCTTCTCCTCCCATCCCTAGAAATCACCAAAAGGGAAAAAAAAGTTTCCTTTAGCGTGAAAACCTTTCCTTGACTTTTTTCTAATAGTGGCTGCATATCTAAGTAAATGTCTCCTTTTGTGATTGCCACATTTCATTCCTCAGGACGGATGTCCTCCAGACACCCCCTCTCCCCACCATGGTCAGGAGACGTCCCCAAGAGTCTTCGCTGTTCCGTGACAGTGTGTGTACCGGGTCTGTGGCTGACACCTCGTTACCAGGCCTTTCTTTCACGGCACTCCTGAGTGGACCCAGTCCCCATCTTTTTTGTGAGCAGCACGAATCGATCATTTTTGCCACCCAGGGAGTCCGCCAGGCTCATCCAAACCAAGCGAATTCTGCCATGAAGCGAGTCCCTTCCGACTGGGAGGGAGCCTCTGCCGTGCTTAATAAGCGGAAGTCCTTGTTGTTGTCCCTGTCGGCTTAATTAACACTCTAATCAAAGGGGCTCCAGAGAGGCCTTGAGTACCTTTCGCTCACTCTGGACACAGCCACCTCACTGAGCCTTCTGTACCTAGGCCCCAACAGGTGTAATGGGTTAGGAATTGGGCTGCTAACCTCAAGGTCAGCAGTTTGAAACCACCAGCTGCTCTGAGCGTGGGGGGTGGGGGGAGATGAGGCTTTTTGCTCCCATGAAGTTACAGCCTCAGAAACCCACAGGCACGGTTCTACCCTGTCCTGAAGGGTCACTGTGAGTCAGCATAGCAATGCAGATTCTCAGGCTCCCTTCCCTGAAATGCTGACCGGACAGAGAGCCTGGGAGACTGTGTTTTAACAACTGCTGCTAGGGAAGGCCAGCGGGG